GGTATTATAATTTCGGCCCGGCCGAACTTAGCTTCTTGTTTACTTGTTATAAACAAAAATAACATCTATAATCAACCGAAACTTCATTCTGTAACACATCAACCTTCACAGAGCCCAAAAAACAAGGGCATGACGGAAAACTTATGGGCATTTCACCTGTGCTACTCATAGATTATAAAAAATCAATTAGAAAAACCTCTTCATATGCACTTATTAAAAAAAACATTATAAACAACTGACCAATTTGTTTAAGTTGTTGTACTGAACTTTCCCTCTGAAATAGTTTCGAAAATATTTGTTTACGATGGTGCTTGTAGCAATGACTAGTCAGTGTATGCCCCCCCTTAGAGTTTCATGCCGATAACCATTTGAAGGTATAAAAGAAAGGGGGCTTGTTAAAATAATATTAAAATCACTGACAATATATAAACATATGTCGATCGGTTATCTATGCCATTACCTGATAAAATACAATTACGCGTTGGTTTTGATAACACAAATTAATGGTTTGCAAAAAATATGGGGAACTACTAACTGTCAGAGGTTTTTATCCAAAATTATAAATTATTGTATATAAATATAAGAGTGATTTTCAATAATTATTTTAAGCAATGGGAGTCATCAAAAATTTTGTGTATCATTTTTGATATTTCACGGAAATTTACTACGTGACCAAGTAAATCCCTTGGGACAAGCGTTAAGTTTTTAATACTCCGAGGCTTAGATAGTGCACACAGCCCCAGAGTTTTGTGATTCAACCAGTAACGCCGAAAACCGTGCCAAAAACATAGACCAATTAATGGTGTCTCAAATCTGGAATGTGGAAGCTTGCCTATCAAGTGAAGCAGATATTGGCAACAAAGAGAGATGGTTCTATTTTCGAAGAAAGCAATACCTAATGGGAATTCAAAAAAATTTTTGAACATTTAAAATCCTGTATATATTATCTGATAATTCAAGTGTCTGTGATTTTTGCAGGTCAAAAACATTGGCCTTCAGGGTCAGAAACATTGGCCGCTAAATATTATCCGATAACTATTCAAGACGACAGGCTTTATATCCACGTTATAAACCCTAACGCTATGCTTAATTTCGCATTTATAATGCTGAGCTGTAAAGCAATTCCAAAATCAGGAACATTTTTTCTGTTGACCTACTTTGTCCCCCTGCATATTCAGCATTACGAACAGTAGGCTTCTATTCTGACTCTAATCCCAACTCCATCCAAAATTTTATAATGACCGGGCATTATTGTAATCTGGACTGACCGAACGACACACATAACTAAATCAACTACGCTCGGTTGTAGGGTATAACAAGTAAAAAAGCTGTAAGTTCGGCCGGGCCGAACTTTTAATACCCTCCACCATTTGGTACAAATTTGGCAATTTCCTTAACTTGCCTACTGGCAAAACATACATGTGTGCAAAATTTTAGTCTTCTATCTCAATTTGTTCGAAAGATAGCGTGATTACAACAGACAGACAGACACACAGACAGACAGGCGGACATGGCTAAATCGTCTTAGAATTTTACACTGATCAAGAATATATATACTTTGTTGGGTCTGACATGATTATTTCGAGGAGTTACAAACGGAATGACAAAATTAATATACCCTCCATATTATGGTGGAGGGTATAAAAGGTAAATCAAAACTGGTCGGGCCGAGCTATTAAAACTCCATCACAATTTGTATAGTGTTATTACTTTTTTATAACCTCCACCATTCTACGGAGGGTAAATTAGCTTTGTCATTCTGTTTGTAACTCCTCGAAATATTCATTATAGACCCTACAAAGTATATAAATTCTGGATCAGGGTAATCCGTCTGTCTGTCTGTTGTAATCACGCTATCTTTCGAACGAATTGGGATAGAAGTCTAAAATTTTGCATACATGCAAAGTTGACAAGTAGACAGGTTAAGTTCATAAATGGCTCATGTCGGTTCACGTTTCCGTATAGCCCCCATATAACGGTACCTCACGTATTCGGTATTTTCATGATTTTAGCGGAATTATCTACCGGAATTATTTCAAATTTCATATTTAAAGTTCGTAATGGGTACAACAAATTTTGACAAAATTTTTTGTATGCAGGTTCATGTCTTCGCATAGCCCCCATATAACGGTACCTCCCGATGGTCGGGATTTTGATGACTACAGCAACATTATTCACTGGAACTGTTTAAAATTTCGTATTTAACGTTCGTAATGGGTTCTACAGCCTATGACAAAAAATTTTGTATGCTGGTCCACGTCTTCATATAGCCCCCATATAACGATACATCCTTATATTCGGTATTTTGATGATTTTAGCGAATTCATTCACCGTAATTGTTTCAAATGTGGTGTTTGAAGTTCGCACGGGATATTACAGCCTTAAACAGAAAAGTGTCTGTCCACGTCTTCGTATAGTCCCCATATAACGGTACCTCCCGATATTCCGTATTTTGATGATTTTCGCGACATTATTCACTGGAATTGTTTCAAATTTGGTATTTGAGGTTCGTAATGGACACTACAGCCTATATTATTCACCGATTTTTATATCCTCCACCATACATAGTATGGAGGGTACATTAAGTTCATCATTCCCTTTGTAACTCATCGAAATAATAGTTTTAGACCCAACAAAGTATATATTTTCTTGATCTGCGTAAAATTCTAAGACGATTTAGTCCTTTCCATCCTATTCACCGGAATTGTCTCGAATTTCGTATTTGAAGTTCGGAATCGGTACAACAGCCTATGACAAAAAATTACTTATTCAGCACCACGTCTTCGTATAGCCTCGATGAAAAGGTATTTATTTTAGCGGTATTTTTCGACGGTTTTTTATACCATCCATCTTGGAAACGATGATATATAGCATTTTCAGATTAAATGAAACCTTTTGCAATTCAAATGAATCTTTTTGCAGCGGGAATGAAACCTTTTGCAGTGGAATTGAAACCTTTTGCAGTGGAAATGAAACCTTTTGCAGCGGGAATGAAACCTTTTGCAACCGAAATGAAACCCTTTGCAACCGAAATGAAACCATTTGCAACCGAAATGAAACTTTTTGCAAATCAAATGAAACTTTTAAATTTATAGAAGGAAAAATAACAAAACATTTTTATTTTTAGTAGGTTCAAAATTAAATAAACTAATTATAACTAATATATAGTTAAAGAGGAATTTTTATTGATTATTAATAACTATGTTTTTATAAATTTTTTTCTTAAGCTTCCATAACACACAAGTGTAGATGCAGAAAGATTGAAAAAAGTTTTTCAAGGTATTTTTTTCAAAGGACCCGAATTAGGTACCTTTTTATAATCTCCTCCATGGAAAGGAGGATATATTAAATTTGCCATTCGGTTTGTAACACCTCTAAATATTCGTCGTAGACCCCATAAAGTATATACAATCATGATCATAGTTGATTTAATGATTTCCACTTATCTGTCTATTGAAATCACGACTGCTTTATCTCCATAATCAATAAAGCTGCGAAGCGGGAATCCTTTATTAGGAAAGATTAATAGTATACTATAACTATAAAAAATTGTGGTAAAACTTAATTTCACATTTCAGTCCTGGCCATACCTATAAAGGCCAAAATTTGTTTAAATTTCTCTTTTTAGCGTTAAGCATTTGGAATTTAATAATATGGAAGCATTTTATATCAAATCAATAAAGAACCATTTTTTAATACAATAATTGAAAATTTAAGAAATAATATAAATAAATGTAGATATTTATAGTCAATAAAAAATCCTCTTTGTCAATATATTAGTTATAATTAATTGATTTAATTTAAAAACTACTAAAAATATAAATGTTTTGTTATTTTTCCTTCTATAAATTTAAAAGTTTCATTTGATTTGCAAAAAGTTTCATTTCGGTTGCAAATGGTTTCATTTCGGTTGCAAAGGGTTTCATTTCGGTTGCAAAAGGTTTCATTCCCGCTGCAAAAGGTTTCATTTCCACTGCAAAAGGTTTCAATTCCACTGCAAAAGGTTTCATTCCCGCTGCAAAAAGATTCATTTGAACTGCAAAAGGTTTCATTTAATCTGAAAATGCTATATTAACTTTGTCATTCCGTTTGTAACATCCCTAAATATTCGTCGTAGACCCCATAAAGTATATACATTTATAATCAGCATAAAATTCTATGTCGATTTAACAATGTCCGCCTGTCTGTCTGTTGAAATCACGATACAGCCCACACGATACGGTACCTCCCGATATTCGGTATTTTGACGATTTTTGCCACATTTTTTCACGGATTTGTCTGAAAATTTTTATTTATAGGTCATAATGGGTTCAAGCTGCGGTGGGAAACATTGTATGTACAGGTCCACGATTTGGTATAGCCCCCATATAAATGTACCTCCCGATATTCGGTATTTTGATGGTTTTTGCCACATTTTTTAAGGATTTGTCTAAAAATTTGGTATTTGTTGGACATAATGGGTTGTAGCTCCGGTGGCGGTGGTGTATGTATAGGACTACGTTTTAGAATAACTCCCATATAACGGTACCTCTCGATATTCGGTATTTTGATGGTTTTGGCACATTTCCCATGAATATGTCTAAAAATTGGTATTTGTGGGTCATAGTGGGTTCTAATATTTCATTTACCCTAAGGAGGAGGGCCGAACCCGGTCGAACTTAATGTTTTTTACTTATTTTTTTTTTTTTAATTTTTCAAGTTCCTTACGAATGCTGGAGGGTATAAAAAGTTCGGTCCGGCCTTTACCAGTTTGTATTTTTCTCGCAATTTATTATTCTCTTTCAACCCAATTTTTCCTTATTTGTGTACATGAATTTCGCACTGCTGCTTTAAATAAGAGCAGCAAATTTTCACTAATCCTTAAAGGATTTAGCTCAGTTTAAGGTTTATCCAAAAATAATAAATTAAAACACAGAATAAAATTTGTTTTCAATTGGTGCGGTTTTTTATTTTTTGTTTATTTTTTTCTGTTTTTATTTATAACGGTGCAATTTTTTATATTTTTTTTTTTTTACATTTTTAATCGAATTGTTCGCTTACTGGCAATTTATATACATATATAATAGTTAAGGATAATTATTAATACTGTCAATCGTTTCAATTTTAATTACAAACCTCCAAATCTTGGCATGCCACCAGGAAATCTGGGACATCCACCGAAGCCATGGTTACGCATCATCCATGGACATCTGTGCATCATATTACGATGTTGCATCATAAAAGTGTTGCCACCGGGACCAAACATTCTAGGAAAACTCATCATCGAGGGATTGCCATGACGACCAAACATCATACCGGGATGGGGCCATTGGGGTTGTTGCTTTTGTCTGGGTGACTCATCTTCACTAGAGCTACTGCTGCTGCTGCTACTACTGGAGCTTGAACTTGACGAAGACACCTTTATGTTGGCTTTTTTGGATTTTTTCCATTTACGTTTACGTTCATCTTCACTAGAGCTACTGCTGCTGCTGCTACTGGAACTAGAACTTGACGTAGACGCAAATTTATGATGCTTCTTGTGTTTTTTGCCTTCCTGTCTCCTTTTGCAAACCTTCTCTCCGAACATTTTTCCTTCACAACCAGTTACGCAAAATTTTTGGCAGTTCTTTTTCTTCTCATCACAAGGTCCACGAGAATGAGAACGGCTAACATGACGCCTCTGTTGTCCATGGTGTTTCTTCATTTCACATTGGCGTCCACGAGAGTGGGAACGGGAACGAGATCGGCTGGCATGACGCTTATGATGTCCATGGTGTTTCTTCATTTCACATTGGCGTCCACGAGAGTGGGAGCGGGAACGAGAGCGGCTGGCATGACGCTTATGGTGTCCGTGCTGTTTCTTCAGTTCACATTGGCGTCCACGAGAGTGGGAACGGGAACGAGAGCGGCTGGCATGACGCTTATGGTGTCCGTGATGTTTCTTTATTTCGCACTGGCGACCACGGGAATGAGAGCGGGAGCGTGAACGGCTTACATGACGCTTATGATGTCCATGGTGTTTCTTCATTTCGCACTGGCGACCACGGGAATGAGAGCGGGAGCGTGAACGGCTTACATGACGCTTATGGTGTCCATGGTGTTTCTTCATCTCTCCATGACGTCCACGGGAGTGGGAACGGGAACGCGATCGGCTGACGTGACGCTTATGGTGTCCATGGTGTGAAAGGTGGCATAGGATGTGGGTGGGAACGATGACCGTGCTTATGATGACCATGGCGCTTTGACTTCTTTTTCGACTTATGTTCCATTTCACTTTCACTGGAACTGGAACTAGATGAGCTAGAACTCGAACTAGAGCTGGATCTAGTTTTGTGATGTTTCGATTTCTTTTTCTTGCCATGCTCCGCTTCACTGTCACTGGAGCTAGAACTGGTGCCACTACTGGTACCACTGCTAGTTCCACTACTTGTGCCATCACTTGTTCCCGAAGACGTCGATGATGAACGATGACGGCGTTTATGTTTCTTAGAGTCCTTTCCGTCTTCCTCAGCGTTGGCAACGACTTCACCTTCTAATTTCGCAATTGCCTTTTGCAACATCTTCTGAGCCTTATATGCCTTCTTCATGGCTTTCATATATTGTTTTTGGGCTTTCTTCGATGGTTCTTGAACAGTGGTATCAGCCTCTTGATTGGCCTCAACCTCCTTTTCGCAACCGGGACACTCCATTACAACCGGTTCTTCGTCGTCCATAAGGGGATGGCCCTGATGTTCGATATCAGACATTTCAAATTAACACTGATTCCCACAGGAGTTTAATTGTTTCTCTCTTTTTTTCTTTTTTTGATTCGTTAAGGAATTTGTTATTGTTGTGAAATAATTTTTATTATCGTTTTGCAAATATTTATTGTAAATATGGACTCGTTATCGGGTTTGCTCTGCACTGACGATTGGATGACTCCACTTGACTGATGGCGTTGCTTTGCCGGCATTTGCCTTTTATATCATTCCGGCCGAACATAAAACGGCTGGTGGGCTTAATTTTAAAATTTGTTCGTGTTTTTTTGATCCCAACTCGTGAAATTTGTTATCGAGAATATTCGCAATGTTCTCTTTTCCGATATGCTTCTGGTGTTGCGGGTGGAAAACGTTTATAAACGTTTGCATTAATGCAACAACGCATTACTCATATTTGTTTTCCATTATCTCTCAGTTTGTCTTCTCTTTCTCTCTTTCCCCCTCTCTCTCTCGATCTGTTATTATCTCTTTAATTGAGTGAACCTCTTGCCCATGATTTTCTCAATCACTTGTGTTTCTATAGCAGAGGCACGGGCGCATGTTAGGTCAGTTAATACCCCCTTGACGCATTGGTGCTGATAACAATTATATTTAGAATAATAATTATTGTTGTTGTTGTTCGTATTTTCGTGAACTTGTTAAATAAAATCAAAACAACGTTTGTTATGTTTGTGGTTCTTGTTTTGAAGTGGTGAAATTTAATTTGCATCCAATATTAAATGACGTGGAAGAGGAATCCCCTAAAATAAAAAGTGGAGTGACTTCTGCAAGTAGTAATGCCACTATATATATTTGTGCGGAATTTTCTCAATGTTGGCATTTGGACTTCGAAATAGGTCCATCTTCTCAGAAAGATCTGAAAAGGTCCACATTTTTGTATAGCCAGCATATAATGTTCCCCTACATATTCGCTATATGGCCGATTTTGGAAACACTTTTCAACAGAATTTTTTCAAAGTTGGAATTTGGAGATTGAAATAGGTCCAACCTTCCATGTTTTTATCCACATTTCCATCGATTTGTCTGAAGTTTATAATTATGTATGTGGTCTCAGGTTTCCAAGAGATTGGAGGTTGTTAAATTAATACGTACCATTGTATGATAAAAGAACCTCTTGTTTAAAATAAGGTATATCCGCCATATAACCGTGCCTCCCGATGTTTTTGATGATGTTTGCCACATTTTTCCACGGTTTTGTCTAAAAACTGTCTGTTTGCAGGACTTTTGGTATTAAAAATGGGATATGTAGGTCCACGTCTTCGTATAGCCCCCATATAACAGTATCCCCGATATTCGGTATTTTGATGATTTTAGCAACCTTATTTACCGGAATTGTTTCAAAATTTGTATTTGAAGTTCGCTATGGATACTACAGCCTCAGACAGGAAATGGACCATGCAGATCCACGTCTTCGTATAGCCCCCATATAATGGTACCCCCGATATTCGGTTTTTTGATAATTTTAGCGACATTATTTGCCGGAATTGTTTCAAATTTGGTATTTGAAGTTCGTAATGGATACTTCAGCCTAAGACAGAAAATGGGCCATGTGGGTCCACGTCTTCGTATAGCCCCCATATAACGGTACCCCCGATATTCGGTATTTGAATGCTTTTAGCGACATTATTTGCCGGAATTATTTCAAATTTTGTATTTGAAGTTCGTAATGGATACTATAGCATATGCCAGAAAAATGTCTGTCCCTATATTCGATATTTTATAGCATTTGAATATTATAATAGCTTATAACAAAAGTTGCCTATGCAGGTCCACGTCGTCGTATAGACCCTAACATACGGCTACATTCGGTATTTTTAAGATTTTAACAGAATTTTTAATGGATTTTTTTGAAATTTGCCAAATTTGTTCCAAATGGTGGAGAGTATTCAAAGTTCGGCCCGGCCGAACTTACAACTTTTTTCACCGGAGAAAACCAAATTCGGCAGTTCACCACTTTAGGCCCAGCGAAGCAAATCTTTAGCTCTTTTGAGTCTAGTTTCTTTCTGTTGCGGTGTAAGTTCTTGCACTTTTTGGAATTTCAATGGCTTTACCCCGAGCTCACTTTTCAGTATTTGCCGAATGGAAAATTGCGATATGTTCAGCTCACGAGCCATTTTTCGGCCACTGTGACGCGGGTTTCGATCAAGTCACTTCTTTACTTTTCGAACCATTTCTGCTGATTTTGCTGTTTTCTTCCGTCCGAGTGATGGTACGAGACACAAAAGATTTGTTCACATTTAAATGCTGGAGTGCTCTAACGATAGCCACTTGCGTTTTTTCTGCCAAATATAAATAAATCACACTATCACGCTTGAATTCCATCAGGAATAATTTTTTTTCTGGAAAATTATCACCAAAATGCTTTTGTACGCTTGTAAACAATATAATGGGCTGTCACTGGAATGAGTTTAACAGCTGTCGGACGAGTGGTTTAGCAGTCTGAATTTGGTTGCAACTTTTTTTAACTCACCCTGTATGTTAATAAATTGCTTCTTGTATAATAAAGTGTAAATTTTCTGTGTCAGAGAGGGAATTTAGTGCGTGTTGTGATGAAATGAATGTTTGTAGAGTCCGGGGCCCTATTATAATGGATGTTTGTGTAGGATCTAAGGGTGAAGTTTGGGTAGGCTACTGTGGAAGTAAAACCATCAAAATCTTTTATTTTCGGGGCACATAATGTTAGTGTTCATCGACAAAAATGTAAACGAATAATAATTGTTTGTCCCCTAAGGCTATTGGTGCATGGGATGGATCCGCCCTGAATTTGGCTCCTGAGCAAGTTCTTAACAACAGATATAACATCCGATTTTAAA